TAATAGCCTCCACCGGGGGAGGTGTCAAAGCTTCGACTGTTGGGCGGGCGGGTGCATCATCGTGTCCGTTGTATTCACCAGGGTTTGTGGAGGACTCTTCACTGGGCAGACCGCGCATAATCGCATCTTCGACCTCGCGCTTCTTGGTATCGGCCGAGGCTTTCTTCTGTGAAAGCTCGGCGCTAATGGCCTCTTCTTTCGATAGCTCTGCACGATTGGTCTGCAGGATCTTCTCGAGCCCATCGATCAAGGCGCGGCGCGACTTGATTACTTCAGAGAGAGAGTTTTCTGCGTTGGCGAGTGTCTTCAAGAGTGAACTTAGACGCGCAGCGTGAACGGGCAGTGTAGCCTTAGGAGTTTTGGGGTCATGAAGCTTGTCGAATTCCGAAGTAGCGGTTGTTGCGGAATTGTGGGAGTTGATGACAGCCTTGTTGAGAGCAACCTGCAACGGGTTGAGAGGCTGCAGTTCGGACGGGGAGGATCCCGAAGAAGTGTCCTTGAAGAAAGATCCTCCGAGGGTTTGCTTCTTGTTTGTAGGACGAGCTTTGTCGAGTTCTGCAACATGATCAGTTTAGATAGTGCATCCTCGTGTCTATTGATTCGACCTACCGTCTATGCGAGCTTCCACTGCATCCAAAATAACCCCGTCAAATACATTGCGTTGTCTCCAGACCTCCACGACTCGGCGGATCCTTTGCTGGTATTCATTCGAGGAGCCCTTGTAAGCAGCTGACGTAGCATCGACGATGATCTATTGTTCTGTTAGTTTGAGTTGCGATCGTGGACTGGCAGGGAGACGAACCGGAGATAGCGCAATGAGGAAATCATTTTTTCCGCGTACTTTAGATTGCTGGGCCACCTCTATAGATATGATTAGCAAGCGGAGTGCGGCTCATGTGTGGAGGACATGTTGTACCATTGGCTAGGTAGATCAGGTTGAGTCGCTTGGGAGGCGGCGAGTCGCGGATCTTTTGAAGCCAGATCTGTCCAGTCCGTTCAGCATGGCGTCTAGAGTTACAGACAAAAGAATTAGCAAGTCTCTTTGAGGCTGGAACAAGTGTCTGTACCTGTGGAACATGACCCATTGCGCAACAGTAACGATGCTCTCCTGCGTGTCATTCAGAGCCGATAGCTTTGCTTTGACAGCGTCATCAGTGAAAGCCATGATGACAAAAATAGTAAGCACTTGTTTTATTGAACAGCAAGCTTTTGAGAAGTGAAATTATCAGATCTGAAGTGCAAGTCGCAATCGCTGTTAGAGACAAATAGACAACGAGTAGAAATTGGAGACCACTGGAGAGATTTGGAACCGCGTTGAGTGGCAATCAAGTAAAGCCACCGAAATAAAGTCAAAGGAATATCAAACGAAAATCTGAACTCCCAACCTTTCTCATCACAAGTGAAGTTGACATCAAGTGGTTTGTACCCCAAGCTTGAGACATGGATAAGCTTACCGCCCCGGATCCGGCAGAACAACGGGCCTCCGAGCCCGCCCAGGCCACACCTGTCAACACTACTTCCTATAACTATCTACTTCCTGGTCCTTTGATTTCTTCTCCTTACGACCATCTTCTTGATTCAAACGTCTTTATTGAGTCATACAACAGTCAAATACAATCCATTCCCAGCATGGCTGACCGTTTCCCTTCCCTAGAGGACTTCTCTGAGGGTATGCTCAACCCGCCTTACTTGCTCTCCTTACACCGGAGCTAACATGACCCGCATTTAGGTCAAACCGAAGTAGCCGATATCCAAGCCACCACCGATGACGATTTCCTTGCTCGCGAGCGTGCTGTGCTCGGTGAAGACGCCGAGCAATTCGCTACTTCTCAAGACCACGTTGCCGACGGGAATGTAGGCGCGGGGGATGATGACCTGCTCGGTGCAGGTGACGAGCCCGTTGAGGAGATTGGCCAATTTGAATCAGCATTCCCCTCTGTAGCGACGCAGAACCTGAATGAGGTACGAATTGGCTATTGGATACATGGTGGTGGACATGCAGTATGCTGACCAGGGGTTACATCTATGCAGCGCGTTGCTCCCGGCGGCACAATCACTGGCTCCGGCTCACCCTTCCCCCGTACCGGATATCAGAGCGCACAGGAACCCGAAGATGAGGGAGATGCCGTTCGGTGAGTCCAATCTCAAACTCTGGATGATGGGGCGCATTGCCTTTGCGATCTGCATCCATCCTGTCTCGGCCCGGATCCCCCAAGCTAACTTCTGTCTTTGAATTCTCAGCGAATGGCGCGAAAAGCGTGATTCTGAGATTGCCCGCCGTGCCGAGGTCTCCGCCGAGAAGAAGGACAGTACTGTCAAAAAGGCACAGGAGGATATTGACGACTTCTACGTTTCCTACAACAATAAGGCCGATAAGAACCGCTCCCACGCCCGCGCCGAGGCCGAACAGTTCCTCGCCAACCGGGAGGACACCTCCGCCGGAGGCACCAGCTGGGAGCGCATTGCTAAGCTGGTTGATGTATCGGGCAAGGGCTCCGCGGGCGGTGCCAGCGGCTCCGGAAAGGAGCGTTTCCGTGAATTGTTGATCGACCTCCGAAAAGACCAGGAGGCTCCTGGCTCCAGCGGAATCTAGGTGGTTTGCTTTGGCGTGTGGGGGATAGAAGATTCGGGGGTCCGGGGTTAAGACATGGTTCACAAGTTTCCCACATTTACTCATCTGATATGGCTTTTTCTACATCCCCCTCCCCGCATTATTTGGTAGCCTTGCCGTGATTTGGGCGCTACGTCTCTTATTCTCTTTTTATTTTATTTTACTCCACGCAGCGAAGTCTCTAGGGGGGTTTGTAAATTAGTATCTCGCTGAAATTGATAGCATCGTTAATACCACAGATTTCATTCTCCGGCCGATTCGTGCCGAGTAGATATCTTTATTACACGCTTAATAGTACAATACGGATGTACACCAATCATGGAAATAGTTGGACAACCAGTTCTCGGATCAAGAGAAATAAATGCATACTTAATTCATATCATCGTCGCTTTTGAAGCATCCTTAGTCAAGCTCGGTAATATCACCACCGGGCTCACCAACTTCCTGCTTTCCCTCTTCTTCCAACTCCTTCAGTTTCTTCTGGCCCTCTGCTGTCGTGGCGTCGACGATTCCTTCCTCCAAGCTGAGCATGCCGCCATTGCCCAATTGCTCCACAACGACCTCTGCCTCCTCGACAGACATCTTGCCGAGAACCTTGTTGACTTCGTCCAAGGACTCGGTTGCCAGTGCCTTTTGCAGGTCTTCAGGGAAAGCGTCGAAGATCTTGCGTACCTCAATCTCAGTTGGATCTTCGCTATTAGCGGCAGGAATGTTGATAGTGATCTTGGTGTTGGGGTCAACAGCGTGCAGCTGGATTTGCTCTACGCCCGCAGGATCGTTGGATGCTGAGCCATCCTTGCTGAGTTCAGCGGAGCGGGATTTGATACGAGCGTAAGTATCATTGACATCATTAAGGAATAGGGTGGATGCGCGGTGATCCTTGGTGGTGATGCTAGAAGTTCATATGTTAGCCATTGACCGGGAAAAAAAAATAGCTAGGAGGTTGATATACCGAGTGAAGAACAGCTGGATGCCGTCACGACCGAGCGAGCGGCAGTATTGCAGAAGTAGACCTTGGTGCACGCACTGGCGAGCATAGGCGTCTTGACCCTTGAGCTGACTGTTGAATGCCTCAACAAGTAGTCCGTCGGTCTCTTTCTCGGCGACAATTTCGGGGTTCGCTGAGATGAACTGAAGACAGGCCTTGTAGTCTCCAGGCTTGAGCTGAGCGAACTTCTTTGCAAGCGGACTAATCTCGATATCGGCAGGATCATCATCGTCGCCTTCATCGTCAGCCTTGGCGGCGGAGCTTCCCGCACCAGGGTTCAGGAGCTCAACAGAGCTCTCCTTTGGTTTGGCAGCCGCCTTCTTCTTTTCATCAGCCTTGGCCACATGTGATTGGTTGAAACCTTCGTGTAGCTGATCACTGGTGATCTTAGCGCCTTCCTCCTTCTCAAGTTGCGCAAGCTTTGCAAACAATTCCTTTTGGAGTCCTTGAATCTTTTCTAAGTGTCCATTCACACCCTGAATGTATGCCTTGAAGAGATTGTCAGGCTTAGAATCACCAATTTCCTTCTTCACCTGATCCACCAGTGAGCTCATCATCTGGGAAAATTTGGGCTGTTCCGGTTCGTGTGTGTATACTCCCTCCGGCGGGGTGGGGGCCTGGTCTTCGGCGGGGTTGCTTGCGAACTCCATAATTGTTGTGAAAATGAACTCATCAGGGGAAGCAGACGAGTCCTCATGCTTCTTGAGAGACTCAAGAAGCTTATCGATGCGTGACAGCAATCCATCATTGATAATGCGCTCGTACTTCAGGGTTTTGATTTCATGGCGACGTTGCTCTCGTTGCTGGTGAATCTGGGCCTGCTTTGCTCGGATGAAAGAACGTTTATCGACATTGGGATGAACTTCGACATCCGAATCATCTGACAGCTCCAAGGCGTCCCATTTGCTATAATCAAGAACCATCTTGTCTGACAGTGAATGTGTAGAGTAGGTATGAGGTGGGGTGGTGGGTGTATTAGCGGCAGAGGAAATAGGTGAGAGACAATGTTTCTGATCTTGACGTGAATAGCAACAATTTGACCAATATGTTTTCGAAGTGATTTATTCTTATGAAAATCAAAATAAATGAAGCTCTAGCGCCCGAGCAGATGAAGTATCCAGAGCTCTCGACGGGCTTCTATGGGCGGTAGATAAAGGCAAAATCACAAGCGGTCAAATAGGGCAGAATCAGCCCCGAAAACCGCTTTTCCGGTGGCCGTGGGTGTCCGGCGAAGCTCTAGACACATCCGTTCATCCATCGCACGTTCCAAGGAGCTGAATGTGTGCCATGTGATGTACTCAACTTGAACATATTCCGACTAGATATGGCAGGTCGACGTCTTATTCGGTGACATCATTGTAACTCTATTCCGTTTCGATCCAACTCCGATCCAACTCCGAGATGCGCGGTGCCAGGCTGCCGGTCTCTCTGGCCTTGGGCGTTAGCCCACGGCAGGCTTTGAGACCATATAGCTCCTTTGCTTGCGATCTACTTCCCAAAACAAGATCGTCTCTTATCTCTTCCGGAGACCACAATGGGTTGAACCGTCTCAATTCAACCGCCTCGGGTACACTCCGGGATGGTGCCAACCCACTATTGCTTCAAAATATCAGCTTCAGATATACCGCCTCTACATCTCGCATTGTCTCACAAGCACGCTTTCTATGTTCGACTTCTCAACTTCGCCAAGCGAAACCACCCGCAACCTCCATAGAGCCAACTACTCGGTCAGCTACAGAACCGAAAGAGGAGGAGGAGGACAAGGGGTTTGAACTATCTGAGCGAGCAGCGCAGGCAGCGCAGGTCAACATGAGCGCTAGACTGGCCAAGGAAGGCGCAGCGGGAAAGAAGTCCGGGGTTTCAGAAATCTGGCGGCTTTTGAAGATCGCGCGCCCCGAATCCAAGGCCCTCGGTTTTGCCTTCTTTTTCCTCCTAATCTCCTCGTCAATCACAATGGCAGTTCCCTTCTCCATTGGTAAAATTATGGACTCTGCGACCAAAGGTGTAACCGAAGGAGGTAGCGAATTGTTCGGCTTGAGTATGCCCATGTTTTACACCGCTCTCGGTGGAATCCTACTTATTGGGGCTGGTGCAAACTATGGGCGCATCATCATTCTTCGAATTGTTGGCGAGCGAATTGTTGCCAGGCTACGCTCCAAGCTTTTCCGTCAAACTTTCGTTCAGGATGCCGAGTTCTTCGATGCTAACCGGGTTGGTGATCTGATATCGCGCCTTAGCTCCGACACTATCATTGTTGGCAAGAGTATCACGCAGAACTTGTCCGATGGTCTACGAGCTGCTGTTAGCGGTGCTGCTGGGTTCAGTCTGATGGCCTATACTAGTGCAAAGCTGTCCATGATCTTGCTCGTCTTGCTTCCTCCAATCGGTCTCGGGGCTCTCTTTTACGGTCGAGCTATCAGGAACCTCAGTCGTAAAATTCAAAAGAACTTGGGATCGTTGACTAAGATTGCGGAAGAGCGTCTGGGCAATGTCAAGACTAGTCAGTCGTTTGCCGGTGAAGTTATCGAAGTCCGCCGGTACAACAAACAAGTCCGCAAGATCTTCGAGCTTGGTAAAAAAGAGTCTTTGATTAGTGCAACCTTCTTCAGCTCGGTGGGTCGGCAGTCTTGATTCTTTTGCGCTTTGCGACTTTGACTGACTTCTTACTAGACTGGTTTGATGGGAAATATGACCATTTTGACCCTGCTATATGTTGGCAGTGGGATGGTTCAGTCAGGTGCTATCAGCATTGGAGAATTGACTTCGTTTTTGATGTACACTGCCTATGCAGGCTCCAGCATGTTCGGTCTCTCCAGCTTCTATTCGGAGCTGATGAAGGGTGTGGGTGCGGCGAGTCGACTCTTTGAGCTGCAAGATCGTCAGCCCACGATCCACCCAACCAAGGGTATGAAGGTTGAAACCGCGCGTGGACCCATCCGGTTTGAGCATGTCACGTTCTGCTACCCTACCCGTCCCGCTGTGAAGATCTTTCAAGATTTGAACTTCGAAATCCCTCAAGGAACTAACGTTGCGATCGTTGGACCATCTGGTGGAGGCAAATCCACTATTGCGTCAATTTTGCTCCGGTTCTATAGCCCCACCAAGGGCAGGGTCTTGATCAACGGGAAAGATATCATGGGAATGAACGCCAAGTCCCTTCGCAGAAAGATTGGCGTGGTTTCCCAGGAGCCTGTACTTTTCTCTGGAACAATCGCCGACAACATCTCCTACGGCATGCCTCGAGCAACACGCTCAGAGATCATTGCTGCTGCACGCAAGGCTAACTGTCAATTCATCAGCGACTTCGTAAGTCCACCCAGCAGCTATTATTTTTATGATCCTAGGCTAACCTAATGCAGCCTGATGGACTTGATACTCACGTTGGGGCTCGTGGAGCTCAGTTATCTGGTGGTCAGAAGCAGCGGATTGCCATTGCGCGTGCCCTTATCAAGGAGCCTGATATTCTAATTCTGGATGAAGCCACTTCCGCCCTCGACGCTGAATCCGAGACCCTCGTTAACAGTGCGTTGGCCGCTCTGCTTAGCGGTAACAACACTACAATTAGCATTGCCCATCGCCTTTCCACCATCAAGCGCTCCGACACTATCATTGTCCTAGGCCCCGACGGCAGGGTCGCCGAGCAAGGCTCCTACGAGCAGCTCAGTTCTCGCCCGGATGGCGCCTTTACGAAGCTTATGGAATGGCAAATGAGTGGTGGCGAAACAACGTCACCTTCGGGCAAGCCGACTGAGGCCGATGAGCCCTGGAAGCTCCAGACGGAGTCAGAACCTGATCTGGAGGAAGATGATGTAGAAGAGGTAGAAGAGACAGCCTCTTCGAAAAAGGAATAATCGTACTCCACACCTCGTTCACTCCTCCTATTCCTACACTACATCTCACTATGATGTCTGCTCATTCTTGTAGATTTCTTTTTTCTTTGTCAAAATACATGTTCTCATCTACACTCACCTGTCACGGTTCTCACGTCCTCCCTTCTCCACCTACACATTCTCCCTGTTAGACTTTGCGATAGATACTATGTAATTACAGTGTACAAAGATCAATATTATTGTTCGAATTCTACTTTTTTTTCGGTTCGGTTTCTGTCGCCTCTGTTCTGGCATGTCATGGAAAAAAAAAGAAAGGTTATACTGAAGGACATGTGTGTACCGGATAATGCCTAACATCAGAACTTCGAGATCGCCGTCCGGAGTCCGGTGCGGGTCCAGCGACATATCTTGCTTAGTAACCAGTCATATGCGGACGACCTCGACAGCGCATTACAGCTCCTTGATATGAGATAATCCCCTTTTTTGTACAGAATCTTTTGCTTATACATAAGAAGTAGTGGTTGAAATACAGCCATGAACCGCATACGTAGTCTCATCGCCCGCCCAGCGGCATATGAGCGACTACAGGACTCCGCCGCAGACGACGCCGATGAGACAACATACACGCAGCGACAGCAGCAATCTCCCTTTTCAAGAGTACATTATGGCATATTCTTCCTCCTCGGGGTGTCTATGCTGTGGGCGTGGTAAGCGGAACTTAACAGTCTCCGAACCCGGAGGAAACAAGCCACATACATGTGTGTTGGGCCGACCATGAAGCTAACGCAGAGCATGATCTAGGAACATGTTCCTTGCCGCTGCACCATATTTCTACAGCCGGTTTCAGTCGGACGACTGGACAAGGCTACACTATCAACCGTCGATTCAGTCCATGTCAACCGTCACCAACCTCGGAGCCGCCTTTACCCTAGCAAAGCTACAGAAGAACGCGTCCTATCCACAGCGGATAACGTTTTCGCTGTTGCTGAACTCTGTGGTCTTCGCTATTTTGGCCTTTTCGGCAGTTGTCATGACCGATTCCTCGCCGCGAGCGTACTTTGGTTTCCTGATGGTGATGGTGTGCGCCGCGAGTCTAGCCACTGGTATCAACCAGAATGGCGTATTTGCGTATGTCTCCGGGTTTGGGAGGGATGAATATACCCAGGCTATCATGAGTGGACAGGGTGTTGCTGGTGTGCTGCCTTGCATTGTTCAGATCTTCTCTGTGTTGGCTGTGCCCCCGAAGGAGGATAGCGGCCGAGACCAAGAGCAAGACCCCAGCATGCCTCAGACGAGTGCGTCGACGTCGGCGTTTATTTATTTCCTTACGTCTACGGGTGTCTCGGCCATTGCTTTGCTGGCCTTCCTCTATCTTTTGAGGCAACAACCTTCTTCAAGACAAAAGTTGACAAGAGATGACGATGAGTCTATTACGGATGACCGTGAAAATTCCAAGACTGTCAGCCTCTGGACTTTGTTCGTCAAGCTACGGTTTCTGGCGTTTGCTGTTTTCGTCTGCTTTCTGGTCTCCATGGTATTCCCAGTTTACACGGCGGAAATCAGGTCAGTCAACGATCCTGCTAGTTCACGGATCTACGATCCTAGTGTCTTTGTTCCCTTGGCATTTTTGCTCTGGAACCTAGGCGACTTGACCGGGAGAATGTGTGTGGCTATTCCAGGAGTGTCATTGGGACAACATCCTCAGGTGGCTGCCATGGTGGCCATTGGGCGTGTCATTTTCATTCCCATGTACCAGCTCTGCAACATCAACGGCCAAGGCGCTGCCGTTAAGAGTGACATTTTCTATTTCCTTATACAGTTCTTCTTTGGTGCAACAAATGGGTACCTGGGCACAAGCTGTATGATGGGCGCTAGTCACTGGGTTGTTGCCGATGAAAGGCCGGCTGCTGGTGGATTTATGAGCATGGTTCTCGTCGGTGGATTGGCTGCTGGAAGCTTGTTGAGTTTCTCTGTCGCCAGTGGTTGATTTCGGTGCCGTATAACTTGTGTTCATCTTCTAGACACAAATATCACGAATGACGAACCATGAAAATACTTCTATCCTTTGGTCTCAGCATAAGCATTTGTTTGCTAGGTGACCCATTGAGCCCTTGAGCCCTTTAATGTAGCCCCTGTTTTCCGTTTGATAGGAGCCCTAAGTTGAGACCCAAGGCGAAGTTTGCCGGCTGTCCCCTTCATGTTTTCAATCACTCTTAAACACGCCAGTCATTTCGGACTTTAAGCGATCTCCTAAAAGCAATCACTCACCATCTCACATCTCCTAGTCAACTCCTATTACAAGCCGCTTGTCGTCTGATCTTCTGTTTGCCCGCGCGCTTCCTCGGCGTCTTGTCCTTCACCCTCTCTTCTCTTCTCTTCCCTTTTTCCCTCCACACCGTTCCCTCTTTTGATATTTGTCTTTCCTTTCGGGTGTCCATCAGTAAGAGAAACATCCTGGATGTCTTTGATTGTATAACTTACAGTCTCTAGTTGTTGTTCATGATGATTTTCGTTTCATTGGCTATGGGCGGCTGGTGCCATGCCCTAGCTGTCCCTTCATTCTGGAGTCTACTGAGTGGACTCCTTGTCTTGGTGAGTACTGACATACAAAACCAGGTATTTAAGGTGTGGTGTGTCTCATTTCAATCAATTATCACAGTTTTTCATTTACTATGTGACCTGGATCATCTACACTCTCTGCTTCCACTCCCTGAGTGGCTACCCTGGACCCAAGCTGGCTGCCATCACTCCTTTGGTTCATCTCGTCTGGGACATCCAGGGCAAGCAGCACTCAACCGTGAAGCGTCTCCATGACAAGTACGGAGACGTGGTCCGCATTGCCCCGAATGCCCTCGTTTACCGTGCTGCACCCGCTTGGAAGGACATCTACGGTCACCGCAAGAAGGGACATAAGGTCTTCATCAAGGATCCCGCCTTGTATGCACCCACTCCCAACGGTGTCAATGCAATCATCACCGCCAATGAGGACAACCACTCCCGGATGCGCCGTTTGCTGACCCATGCGTTTTCCAACAAAGCCCTGCGCGAGCAGGAAGGGATCCTCCAGATGTACGCCAGCATGTTCATAGAAAAGCTTATGGGTCTCATGGGCAGTGCTGAATCCCAGGACATTGACATCACCTGCTGGTTCAACTTCACCACCTTCGACCTGATTGGCGACCTCGCATTTGGAGAACCCTTCGGCTGCTTGTCAACCAGCGAATACCACTGGTGGGTTCGGATTATTCTGGATGCTGTCAAGGCAAGTGCCTACCTCAAGGTGTTTTGGTTCTACCCTTTCCTCATTCCCTTGGTCCGCGTCCTGGTTCCCAAGCACCTTCTTGAGAAGCGCCAAGCCAGCTTCGACCTGAGCGTTGAGAAGGTCCGTCGTCGTCTTGCCCTAGGTGCCACTCGCCCCGACTTCACTTCATACATCCTCAAGCATACCAAGGATGGAAAGGGAATGTCGCCTGAGGAGATGGATGCAAACTCGGCGGTCTTTGTTCTGGCCGGCAGTGAGACTACGGCTGCCCTGCTTTCAGGTGTGACATACTACCTTCTGCGCTGCCGTGACAAGTACGAGCGTTTGGTCAAGGAAATTCGTGGTGCTTTTGACAAAGACGGTGACATCAAGCTATCTACCCTCGTGGATCTCCCGTACCTGAACGCTGTCCTGACTGAGGCAATGCGCATCTACCCGCCTATTCCTTCGATGCTTCCGCGAATTGTTCCCGAAGGAGGCGCCATGATTAACAAGAAATATGTCCCTGGAAATGTGAGTACAGTATGCCGGTACCGGTGTAATGTGGTGTTTTGTGGAAATGTACTAAGTGCATGGACACAACACAACAAATCCAATTTCTTAGATTTCTCAATACTAACAACAAGTAAATACAAACAGGTCTCCGTCTCTATGTCGCTTTACTCCGCCTTCCATGCAGCTGAGCACTTCAAGAATCCCGAGGCATTCGTCCCAGAGCGCTGGTTGAACGAGTCTGACGAGTACGCCAACGACAAGAAGGAAGCCTTCCAGCCCTACTCCTACGGTCCACGCAACTGTCTCGGTCAACAGTAAGCATCCATTCCCTTACTATCTACTCACTCCATCCGTGTTTTCCCCTCAGTCGTGCTTAACAGTGTTTGCTAACATTTTAACTACAGCCTCGCGAACGCCGAAATGCGCCTGCTGCTCGCCAAGCTCTTGTGGAACTTCGACCTGGAGCTTCTTTCTAAGTCTCTTGACTGGACTGACCAGAAGACCTTCGCGCTCTGGAGCCGCCCCGAGTTGATGGTCAAGCTCTTCCGTGCCGGTGCTGGTTCTGCACTCTAAATTCACGAATTCATGAGACAATTACGAGATCTCCTTTTAACAGCTCATCCTGTTGTGTTGTTGTCTCAACCGTGAAAAAGCATTGGGCCGAAAAGCGTTTGTCGAAAATCTAGCAATGGCGTTTTCTTCTTTTGTCTCGGGGTTGCGGCTGGGCTGTTTGTTTCGTCCTCCCTGGGATTGTCAGTACATAACATATGTACCTAGTCATCTGTGGGCTACTCCCCCGGTACAAAAGATTGGAGGCATTTGAAAGTGGGCTTTCGCTAGAATAGAAAAATCAAAATCAAAATACAGTCTTCTGTCATGGTATGGTCACTTGGCCGGAAACCGCTAGACAGTTTATTATGGCTGTTCAAAAATCGTATTTGATTATTCTCACTTTTGAGGCAAAGCAATATATTTTGCATGCAATATAGAATATGAAGATATTGTATATGCAAATCCCTTGTACTAGTGAGGCAATGCGCCTTTTATCTAAATAACTAGCCCCAAGCCCACAATATGTGAACAAATGATAACTCCTAACCATGCAAATTACAAAGTCCATGTAACTCCCAGGCAATGCTTTTTCGTATACTAAGGAATCATCAGAAAAAGTCCTGTTCACTCAGCCATCGCGAGTCCATCGCGTAGGCCACCAAATCCGCAGCGCAACACATGTCTTCGTGTCCATGCTCCAAGTCGAGGAGCTCAAGGACGGCTTTTAGTCTGCCCTCTAGTGCTTGCTTCAGCCGCGAGATACTAGCTTGCACGTCTTTGGACTGTCTTTCCTTGAGGGACCCGGCCATGTTTTGGTCTTTCCCTTTGGATGTCTCCGGTTTTGGTGTCATTCTGTTGGGCGAACAAGGCGCAAGAGCCTTTCGCTGTGGCTGTACAAACAATGCTTCAGGCTTGCGATTTTTGAAAAGACTCTGAAGCAGGAAGAGTAGCCACACCAAGTTGGTGCGTGGAGAGTATTCTGCCCAGATGCCAGGAATATCCGCTACCTTTTCTGTTTCTATAGGGCAACCAGTATAGAGTGTTGCGCGCATACTGAATTTTAAGTTAGCAAGTTGGTAAAGAAAGCAAATCAGCGGAGATAGGGTAACATACTATCGGTAGGTGTTTCGTTGCATAATCTCGTCTTCATCTTGGCCAATAGCATCGAACAATTGCTTCTTGTCCAGATCAGATGATGCAACCTCAGTGAGACCAGCGGGGTCATCGGTCAGGAGTAGATCCGCTCGAGAGAGCGAGTAGTCAATAATGGTAGTCTCAAGGGAGCTGATTCCAAACCCACTGCAGGATGACTGTCGTGCAACATCAAATTCTGTGGGGGGATCCAAGCAACCATCTTCCCGCGTAGAACGTATACAAACATTTCCTAAATGAAGATCTCGATGTTCGAACATAGCATACTCCTCTGCCCGGGCCAGAGCCATGGCAACTCCCCAGAAGATATCATAGATTTGGAAAATCGATGACCAAGCGAACTTCTCGAGTTCACATCCCGCATCGTCCATCTCCACGATTGCCCATAGCTGCGTATCCGGATAAGCTCTTTTGTTGGATGGATTGGGATTTAGGCAGTCATCTTTGGTTTTCTTATAGTGGTCCCATGCATTTTGGAACGACTCTGGGAAACGACCTTGAACAACATGAATCTCTCTAAAGCGAGCAAAGCCAGGGATCGGGTCCAAATATTTGAGCATTTTGACCTCGGAAACAATCTCGTCGATGGTGGTGAATTTTTTGGATCCTGGACCGCTCTTTGCTCGCAGAGGCACGACCTTGAAGACTCCATCGCCATATGATTTCAGTTTAGCCAACTTTGACTTGGACACCACCGGCCTGCAAGCTTCTTCCCGCAGGTGAAGCTTGTAAACTTCACCGTAGGATCCCTCTGCGAGTTTTGCGACGTGGAACATGTTCGCTGATCGTGAGGCCCACGAGCTGAACTTCTGAATGCCTTGGGCGGCAATCGGAGATAGTGCCTCATTCAGAATTGGGCTAACATAATCACTGGCCTTGCTGTCGTGAACAACTCCAGATGACCGTCTTGGTGCAGGAATCTTTTTTCTTTCCGCTCTTCTTCTGGAGGATGTACTTGGCTTTTCTCGATCCTCGCTTGTGGACTCTGGCATCATAGCTGGGGAATCTGGGATGGCTTGAGGAAGTATTCCTGGATTCTTCGGGCATATCCTGACCTCCACCATCGTTTCGCATTTCTTCGGTTCTAGCTTCGACTGCTCCGAGAAGGATTCGAAGGAGGATCGCGGTGTCAGGGTGTCCGAGGTATCCTCTATCGTAGACGGACTCGATTCACCCAAGGGAATTTCCGTCAACTCTTGCTCTTGCTCGCTCTCAGTTTTGATAGGCTTTGTGTAATTGTCTTGTTGAAGGGTTGAGTCGTCATCGATTGCCACTTGGGCTAGTTTCGCTTGGAGGCTTTCCACGGGGTCGAGATATTGGGTCTTGGATCTGGTATCTCTAGCAGGGCTTCCATGATCAAATACTGCCCTAGGGGCATTGGCTCTTCGTTTCCCGTACACTCTGCGCTGAGCTACGGATTTGGGTTTGGATTGTTTGGGTTCCATTGGTGTCGCGTGACTCGAGACTGGCGAGTGTGACCGGGTTGACATTGTCGAGGAATATTTATACACTCAGTATACTAGCCCTGATATGTGGAATCTCCGTGTAAGGGGGTTAGGATGATTCTGTTCGACAGGAAGCGGTCGAAAGAGACGATTTGGGCCAGAAGTGATGGATCGTGTTGATGTTTAACCTAATCGGGATTAGCGTATGGTTACTGCGGTGAAAACATTCTGCCCTTGGCCTCTGGGCTTTTATTGTACTGTTTTACGGAGTATACGGGGAAGGGAGTGCTTCAATTGATGTTGCTTTGGTTTACAGACTATTGAGTGCAAGAAAGCTTTATGTGATTGTGTTTGAACAGAAATAGTTGGCTTATGTTCAGTAACAAGGCAGAAGTCCGGGGAAAGGGTATACTTCTCCAACCCTGCCTCATTTTATACAAGGGATAAAATTCTTATTTTCATTTCATTGCTCTGTCCCTGAGACCTGCACTTTCTCTCGGAGTCTTCTTTCCCTTACATCGTACATGAAACGAACGTGGGACTCATACTTTAAGATCTGCATCCCCGTGGCTGTTTCTGTACGCTGGCTGCACTGCGTATAGTATGACACCTTCAGAAACATCCCGTGTTTCCCCCCCCTTTCTCCAGATTCCGGGCAACACGGTCATAAGAGAGCCGATAGTCCAAGAGTCTAGATACGTGCAGCCCGAATACCGTGGACGGTGAATGGCCCAATATCATCCACAGTGGACATGACGCCGGGGCTGACCGGAAGTGGTCCCTGAGAAGTCACACTGTGACGTACCGCCCTTGTAGTATCCGGTCGAAGGAATATAGCATAAACGCGAAAAAGAAACCCAAAAAAAGATAAGAATACTTAGAATGATACATCCAATTAAAAACGAACTGAATAGTGAAACAAAATAAGCTTAATGAAGAAAACAATAACAGAAAAGTCCTTAAGTGACCCGGAAGCACGCGCCTCGGGTGCTTTGCCTTTTTTTTCTGCTTTTTCGTTTTCCGCCTCCCGCCCTCCCTCTCTCTTCTCTTTGAGACTTCATCCAATGTCCTTCTAACACTTTTTAATCCTTTCTCGATGCTTGGGCATGGCGTTCAACTTCAACTGGTCGCCTTTGATGGCGGACGCGAGTTTTTATACTCGCGCCCAAGATCTGCTTACTGCCGCACTTAACAAATCGCCAAAACCCCCCATAATTGTCGATGATATTCACGTCACCGAGTTGAACTTGGGATCCATCCCCCCCGAGCTCGAGATTTTGGAAATTGGGGATTTGGCCGAAGACCGCTTTCGAGGCATCTTCAAAATGTCCTATACTGGTGATGCCTTTCTCACCTTGAAGACCCGCGTTCAGGCGAATCCGCTCAATACCTTCCTGCTCACACGACCAACTTTTGGCTCGCCAGTACCTCTTGCTGCAGCGTAAGTCTATGGTCCCACTTATCTCTTATTTGACTCCAATCTATTAGATGTGTTTGCTGACTGTCGTGATTTTAGTACCCCGCTCACCATACCTCTACAAATCACCCTCTCCGACTTCAAACTTTCTGGATTCGTCATACTCGTTTTCTCAAAACAAAAAGGAATTACAGTCGTGTTCCGCAATGATCCCCTTGAGTCACTCAAGGTTTCGTCGACCTTCGATTCGATCCCATTTGTGCGCGACTTCCTACAAAAAGAAATCGAAGCCCAGCTTCGGATATTGTTCATGGACGAGCTTCCAGCCATCATTCATCGACTGTCGCTCCGTATATGGGTTCCGGAATATCGCACAGGGGAGGAAATGAACGACGAGACCGATAACACAGCCAAGTCAAGAAGCGAAGGCCCTGGCCAAGATCCTCTGGCTAGCCCGCCACAGGATCCCGTCGACTCACTCGGAAATGCATTGAATGAATCCGAAATCGCATCGCTCTCTCTAGATTCATCGGTCGAGACTCACTCGCTTTTCTCACAAAAGAACCTCCTTCGCTTGGCCGCTCTGACAGATTCGCAACGTACACTGTCTTTGTTCACTCCTTCGATCGAGGAAGTGGTGTACCGAGCATGGACTTCTCCAATCGATCCCAGCGAATTTTCCTCGAGCGTGATCTCACCACTGAGCCCGACCCTTTCACGAACGCATTCCCAAATGGGAAGCATGTCTTCCCTTCATGAAACCGCCAGCACTGTCTCCATGCAAAGTCGACCCTCTATGTCTGGCCATTCTTTCAGTACTAGTACCTATGGTCTGAGTCTAGGCGCTGGACGTCATTCCAAAGCCCACGCCCGGAAGCGCAAGAAGCGTGTTGTGGACCTGCGCCGCCCCAAGACAACTGATGACGCTATGAGCGTCGGCGATGAAAGCGTCATGACCGAGTCCTCCAGAACGCCTTCTATCGCCTCTGCGCCTCTGCCCGTTGTAAATGAGCCGTCAGATGACCCAGTCACACCACCTCTATCACCCGAAGCCGACTCCCATTTGCCCATTATCCCAGAAAGGCATTTGTCCAACTTCTCCCGCCCCACACGTCGGGATGGAGACTTATCATACTCCCATGAGACTATCCGTGGACCCAAAGCAGAGGACGTGCATGCCACCCCTCATGCTACTGTGCGTGGCTATCCCAATGAGAAGGCCACACCGGGGCCGTCTAGCAATCAACGGACCCCGTTGCCTACGACATTCAAAGACGAGAATGCCAACAACGAAAGCGTCGATTCCGTCCTGGTTGAGAGACTCGCCGGTGAAATCGCTCGTCGAATGCGCGAGGACAAGCTTATGACAAATGCATGCAGCGGCTTCTGGAGTCGCCAGCGTGAAGACAGCCCTCCCCCAGCGTACGGCCACTGAGCACTCACCTCCATATATCTTCTACACTCGAGCAACCCTCGAGCATGACCGTTACGATTTCCTTACTTCTCCTTATTTTGTCTTACCGTTTCTTGGTTGTTCTTTTGTTCTTCCTTTTTTGGGGCTTAACTGATATTTCTTTGGAGCGGGAGTGTACAAAATTGGGTCCTGTCATGGTACAGCTGGCGTCGAGTTCTGTTCGGGGTTTCATTTTTACATGATACCACACTCATTAGCCATTGTTTTTTTATGTATTTCTTATTTTTAGGCAGGTCATGGGGTACCTAGAGCAGATGAGATGGATATTGGGGGTCTAAATTATATGAAATATGTTTGTTCCCAATTGCTCCAATCGCTCCAATCGCCTAAATCGCCTAAATATCTCCGATGCGATGCGGGTAAAAAAGCTGGAGACAGCGCTAGACCGGGAGGAACTTAGCTCCGCACCGGGCACCGTGCACCGGACATCTCTCGATTCCTTCCCACTCCTTTCCCTTCCATCCATATCACACCAATTCCAATATGGCGGGCATGTTCAAGAACGTGTTTGGCTCCCATGAGGCTAAGCCCGATGATGGTATGTTAATTGATACATCTCAATTTCTGAGCTAACTCTGGTAGACTTCGCCGACTTCGTGGAAGCTCCCAACCCGTCGCCTGCCTCCCTCGTCGCCGACTCGACTGTCGTTCCAGCTGCCAACACACTGGCCGCCAAGGCCGTCCCCTATACAGCCTGGTACCGGGTATGGGAGAGGACATCCCCGAGCGATTTCAAGCAGGAGGCGATGATTATGCCCTTTATCCTCTTGATTGTCCTCTTCCACCTTTGGGGAGTGCGCAAGAACCGAAGGAGGGCGAGGGACTGGGCGCAGGCCCACGTACCTTCTCTTCAGAAGGAGTTTGCCGTCGTCGGATTCGATGGAATCGCCCGACCGGCTGCCGTGGACGGGATCACCGTGGAGCTCGCCAACCCCGAGTCGCTGCTGAAGGAGAAGACCGCCTCCGAGTTCGCCGCGTATGCGACTGGCCGCCAAAACGTTGCCTTCCTCGACGTCAACATCAAGATGCCCAAGCGATACAACCCCATCACCTTCGTCATGGAGTATGTCTTGGGCTTCTTCTTTGAGAGCTGGGAGCCCCCCGTTGAGAAATACGAGGCTCTGCTGTATGCTTTCGATGGCAAAGAAAAGGACCTGGTTCCCGTTATCGCTAAGGATGCTTCCCCTGTTAAGCTGCCTAGCTCGACTTACGACGGCTTCATCTGGGCTGTTGTCCACAAGAGCCATATGCGCAAGTTCCGCAATGACCGCTACGATGCCTCTATCACTTTCTCCAAGGATAATCCTAAGCTCCCCTCGTGGGTTACCGTGATGACTGAGAGTGCCGAGATTAGCGATACTCTCCTCACCCCGGAGTTGATCCAGGCCATTGAGCAGGCTGGTAATGACTTTGAGTTCTTGATCGTGACGGACCAGCCTGTCGACAGACCGACCAAGTAAGTAGCATCAGTGCGAGGCTTAAATCGGATTCGTTACTAACCAATGTGTGTTCCTAGGATCGAGGAGACCGTCCCCAAGAAGCGCATCCAGCTCTCCGCCAACCTCGCCTCCTCTGCATCAGGCTACGCCTCCACCCTCCCTCTGTTCAATCAATTCCTACGCTTATCTGACAAGCTGGTCGCCTCCGCCCATTTCCGTGGCGAAGTCATGCGCAAGGTCCGTAACGTCCGCGAAGAAGAGATCAAGAAGCTGCGACGTGTCGACGAAGAAGAGAAGGCTGAGGAGCGCCGCATTGCCGCCGAGAAGTTGAAGAAGGATGAGCGTGAGCGCATCCTACGTGGAATGAGCGCCGAGGAGCAGCGCAAGTTCCTTGACCGCGAGGCTCAAAAGGGACAGAGGCGCCAGGCGAAGAAGAGCACCCGGAAGGGCTAGATGGGTGTCTTTCGCTTTGGAGGATTTCTATTCTGTCTTCTCGCTCCTTTCTGTGGGAAAGGTGCGGGTTGAATGTCTTATCCTGCCCTTTTGATACCTTTTTTAATTTGATGTATTCATATTTATTTGTGGAAGATATGATATCTACCATGAGAGTGGGATGCAATCTTCATACGTTCAACTATATTCAATGCAGATTTTATATTCAGATCATTGAGGCCTGTGTCTGATTTGAATTCCAGGGAAGTAACGAAGTAGATGGCGTTACTGCCGTACATCTCGTCAATCCCAACATCCCAACCTCACCCCATCACTCCAATCCAGCATCAACAGTCATTCCAATTACTCGGTTATCCTTATATACTCTGACCTGTTTCAATCATTCATCACAATGCATTTCCTTGCATTTCCAATCTCATTGCTCCTTTCAGCTATTACCCTATCCCAAGCCGCTCCCACAGGGAACAGTATCAACGCCAGCACAACCACCAATACCACCCAGCTCAACGCTTCCAGATTACCATCCGGAGCCATTATCACCCGCTGTACCATCCCGGACACAATCGCCCTCACTTTCGACGATGGCCCGTACATCTACACATCCCAGATACTAGATACCCTCGCCCAACGCGGCGCAAGGGCAACCTTCTTCCTCAACGGCCATAACAGGGGAAACATCGATGCATCACCCGAGATAGTGCAGCGTGCATTGGCAGAAGGACACCAGTTGGGATCTCATACGTTCGTTTATACCACCCACTGGCTTACTCTCTCTTCCCCAGCCCAGCCAGTCCAAGCCCCAACATACACTTACCAAATAACCGTCCAGATGGAACCACGCCTCCCTCGATACCCTCTCATACGAAGAAATCGTATACCAAATGACAATCCTCGAAGAAGCCTTCACACGCATCCTAGGCTTCTTCCCGACCTACATGCGCCCCCCGTTCCTCAGACACACGCCCGTCGTTCTCGGCGCTATGGCCGATCTGGGATACCATGTCATTGGGGCTAGTGTTGATACAAAGGACTATGAGAATGATAATCCTGATACGAATTGGGTTAGCTTTGAAAAGTTCAAGAGGGAGGTTGATGCTGGTGGCACCATTGTGTTGGCCCATGATTCGCATCAGCATACGGTTGAGATTTTGGTGGATAATATGCTTGCGGATGTTCAGAGAAGGGGGTTGAGACGTAAGTTTTCTTTTTCCTTTGTGTTTGTCGGTGGTTATGGGGTGAGGCTAACGGGTTTCTCTTATAGCTGTTCCTGTTGGCGAGTGTCTTGGTGATCCGTCTGAGTTTTGGTATCGTGCTGGGAGGTAGATGGTCAAGGTTGGTGGGGGTGTGTTTTATCTCGTGGTTGGTCTTGGTTGGTCTTGGTAATTGTTCTTTTTCGTCTTTGTGCTTGGGTCAAAGGGGTGTCTGTGTATAGAACTCCTAGGTTTCACTGAACTTCTGCGTTATTCTTTGTTCTTGACGAAGACGTTCTATATATATGCGCACTCAGTCAATGTAATCCAGGTTATCAGCCTGGACAGCCTATTTTCATATAATACCAGTGTCTACTGTCATCGTAGGATTAGCACGCGGTCATCAACACAATCCGGAGAAGTGACCATCTAGTATATAATTGATTCGCTTCGCTCCGCAATGAAATGCAAAGATTGTGGGTACTGTTGGTATTTGTATTGACACAGTGAGATTGCTCACATGCAGCTTGTCAGACATTTGTTTGCCCATTTGTGGTCCTTTATGGATTCCAGGCCTTTATACCCTTGTCCCCATGACGCTATTTAAAAAACATCATGGTACTACTAAGTCTATCATCAGCAATATATCTTCTTCTGGTCGCACGTCTTGGTCACTTAACTATATATCATCGTCTGTCGAGTTATATCATGCCGAGTGTCCAGCTCATATCATGTTCGAGCCATTTCTCTCTCTCTCGCAGACAACATTATATTACTTGGCACTTGCTACCCACTGTGCCCTTTGATGAGAGTGTCTAAGGCACTCAGACACGTGTGAGTGGCTTCTACCATTCTTCTTTTGAACCGTACATAATCTGACTTGCTCAGGATGCACACAGATCGACAACCCATAGACCTCGAGAGTACAATCCCAACCGTCGATGGTATGACTCTTTTCTTTATATGTGGAGATCGGTATACGTTGAGGAACTAATTCTGTCTGTTTAGAAATATAGCAACGGCATCCCAAAATTCAGAGCATCCAATTCTCAGAAGGCTATGTCGCGTATAAGTTGCAATTTCTCACTCATCTCATCGTTCGACCCCAACTCCGATAAATTTGAGTTGGAAGCGCAAATAGTCAGAGCCCCAAGTCTTCCAGGTCGTACATTATTTGACTTTGATGCCAGTATCGCCTTGCTCCTCCCACATATTCTGAATTCGTTCATCCCCAGAATTGAGGCTGTGGGCCAGGTTCTTGGGGCAGTCCTCAGGGCGAGCGTGAACACTCGCTTTGCTGATTTCAAGTCGACCAGCACTGGCTATATATACAGACACCGCATGTTGTATACTGTTGCGTGGTGTCCCGGTTATCCTAGAAGCCGTGGGTGAACTGAAAGTCCCATGGATTGGGGCACACTTGGTGAAAGAGCCATTTGAAAACGAACGAGGTTTCGGTCGTGCGATTGGACAAGTGGTCGAGTATATGATTGATCAAGGAACACTCTATATATTTCACTCCACTTACGATGAGACCAGCTCTTACGCCAAGTCCAGGTGAACAGAGTTTGGAGAGTGGTGTACTGGTCTATTATCGAAAATAATAACAAAACTGGAGTTTCAGCCAAGTCATCGCTAGTAGTAGGGCACCCTGTTCGAACCCCCACTCTAATTCGATCTATATAAAAAGTCTATACTCCAATTCCTGCCCCATGTATATCTACATAGAACCTATAACTTCCCAAAAATCTTCACCCTCTCCTCAACAGGCTTCTGTACCTTCTCTCCAGCAGCAGCTTCAGGGCTGCCAAAGACTAGCTGCGCAACATTTCGCCACTCGTTGGGCAGACCCCACTGCTTCGCAGTAGCAGCGTCAATGAGCGGGCTATAGTGCTGCAGGTTTGCACCGAAGCCGAGTGCTTCAAGACCTGTCCAGACTGGTAATCGTTAGAATGGGGGAAGAAGTGAAACGAAGAAAGAAAAGAGTAAACATACGGAAGTATTGATGCATAGCATTGGAGTGGTCCGCCCACGGCAGGAAATTATCCTTGTATGCAGGGAATTTCTCCTGCATGGGTTTGATGTGTGCTGGGTCTTCATAGAAGAGGATCTGGATATTGATTAGCTATGGACAGGACTAAAGATCTCGAGTTCCAGGAGACCCAAAACTAAAAGCTCATTACGTACCGTTCCATACGCCCCCTTGAAACCAAGCAACTTGGGCAACGTCTGCTTTTCCCAAATCTCCTGTGGGATTTTACCCGTCTTAACAAGACCCTCGAAAACCTCGATGGCGATATCCCACAGTCTATCGTGATGATCGTGCAGGAGTACGACTAGCCGCGTAGACTGGGTATTGAACGCACTGGGGACATGCAAGATGGCGGCATTGACAAGCTCTTCGATCTTAGAATCTGAGACTGGACTTTTCTTGCCGAGCTTATAGATCGTGCGCCTGTTCTTGGCGAGATCGATCAAAGCGCTAGACATGTTTGTTGCTGGGGGTGGGGCTTGCTTGTAGGTTGAGGAGGAGAATGAGCGGGGTGTTTGTGTTTGGGGTTGACAGTTGGATACAAGGCGTGTTGTCCTGGTTCTGAATAATGCTGCGCGGGTTATGGCGAGTAGGGGGGATTGAGTGAAGCGAGTGGTCATTTTGGGGGTTCGGATGTGTTGTATATATTGTGTTTTGTGGAGGTCTGTCTTTTATATATGTTCACACAGACTTGTGGACTCTTGCTTACCACTCAATTGCTAATCCGGGGGACTCGGTACGCTTGTACCCGGTACTCCGTAGGGGCAATTTCCGCCGGCCATCGTGATATCGCGGATTTACGGATTTACGGATTCAACTATTTATAGATAACTAAGCAGTTGGCTTAGTCAGCAGTTTCAAGGCCTTGACCCAAACCCCTCAGGTTGGCTCGTGCAGAAGTCTAATTACTAATATCCCGAAGAAGCCCCACTTCGCGATAAGCGTTGAATCCTCAGTCATTCTTCATACAATATACATATTCTTCCCTCTAACATCCATACATCACAAAATGGACCCCAAAGTCGGAGTCGGCGTTTTTGTTCTCAATGCTGCAGGCAAATTCCTGATCGGTAAGCGAAAGGGGAGCCTTGGCGCTGGTACGTGCATCCAATAGAATACTATACATGCAATAGACCTCAATTATAATCAAAGCTAACCATTTGTGATTAAAGGCACATGGGGACTACCAGGTGGACACCTTGATTTTGGTGAATCTTTTGAGACTTGCGCGGTCCGTGAGACTCTCGAAGAAACAGGTCTGAAGATTCAGGATGTGCGGTTCCTGACGGCCACGAATTCAATCTTGAAAGCGGAGAATAAGCACTACATTACCATTTTCATGGGTGCTGTCTGTGAGGATGGTGCTGAACCCCAGGTAGGTTGATTGAGGTTTGTTTTATGTGTTTATGTGTTTTTCTGTTTTTATATACCCCCGTCTCGTGGCTGCGTACACTGCAGGAACAGAACCAGGATACGCGGCTTACTTCTTGGTAGGTAATTGAGCCGGATAGGTGCGAGGGGTGGGAATGGATCTCGTGGGATGAATTGCGGGCGTATGGGGAGGAGCAAATCAAGGCTGGTGACGGGTTCGAGGGAAGAAGGTTCTTTTCGCCTCTTTTGGGATTATTTGAACAACGTCCGGATTTTCGAGTTTGAATATTCAGCACATAGGCCGAAATTGCAATTAAACAAACGCTCTGTGTAAATTATGGATATCTGATAACCCGGATGCTGTAATCAAAGCCTCATGATTCATTCTCTCACCCTGATCCTTCCAATGGAGACAACCTTGAAGCTTTGTTAAGATCCAAGTCAAACTAAGGAACATGCGAGCCAGAATTTTCATCAGCAGTCCGCTGAATCCTCACTCGCATGACAAAACTCGAAAAGTATGATCGCACTGCCTCTTGTAGCCATAGTGGGAAGGCCCTCAGCGACCCAATCACCGAGGAATGTCTAGGCAGGACGGTTAGCCCACTTTTCCGATTAACAAGGTGCTCCACCACTGCCTGCGAGACGTCCTTTGGATCTAGGAGTGGTTGATCGAAAGCAGCTTGATATTTAGTGAAGCCTTCGATCATGGGAGTCTGAACCCAAAGGGGGTGAATGGTACTAGGTGTGGTCAGCATAATTTCTCTTTGAATAAGACTTTGCCAGACTGACCTCGTCCGCACATTCGGAGCTTTGTACCAATATTTCAACTCTTGCCGAAGGCCTTCCTGGAAAGAAAGAGCGGCAGCCTTAGAACAAGCATAGTCCACCATCTCGCCGAGAGTAACAAAGCTCGCAACGCTCGCTACTGTAAGAACATGGCCGCGGTTCATACGTATCATGAACGGAAGGAATTCTTTTATGATGAGGAAATGGGAGATGATGTTGACATCGAATGCCTGACGCAATTGCTCCTCTGGCAAATCTAGAATGGTATCATGATGGAAAATAGCAGCATTGTTCACAATAACAGTTGGCTCTCCGTGTGCCTTTCGAATAGCAGCGCCGGCTTCGGAAAGAGATTTGGCCGATGTCACATCTGTTTGATAGAATGTGACGTTTTCTGGAAGCTCAAAGGTAGGCCGGATGATATCGAGGACCACAACGCGTACTTTATTGCGAGAAAGATCTTCCATTATTTCTCTGCCGATGCCACCACTGCCACCAGTCAAGAGAACCAGCTCATTCTCTGGGATCCATGCCTCGCTGCCTTGGAAGTTGTTTATCACTCGCTCTGAGATCTTTGTGTTGAGGTAGTAAAGACCTACAGAGCCAACTAACACACTCAGCGAAGATTTGATGATCGGTGTATCCAAGAGATTAAACATGGTGTCAAGGGAGAGTTCCGATAGTCACACACAAAGTCTGAGTAGTCCTGTAAAGGTCCAAGAATGAGAAAAAAATGAAAGTCAATCTCGGGCAATTTGGATTCTGCAGCTGACCCATTTATATTGGAGGAGGGGAAAGGGCGGCTATTTTAACCCAAGATCAGCAGCAATTTCTGCGCTTGTGTTGCACAGGCCTTTGGTTCCCGAGTGTGGCTGGCTGACTTTTTTAGCCAACCCGAGTAGAAAAGGAGCATTTCGCTGCGAATACCGAGGTTATCATCGCTTCTTCGAGGCACATGTTCATGAACAGGGTCTAAAATAACGAAGATCCGATGCAACACGGAGTCAAAGGGGGAAAGATCCTTGCATTCCAAGCTATGAGTAAAGAAGAAGGACGAATACATGATCTTATCATGCCCCACAGGGCTGATAAACTTCAATGGCTCTCGTGTTCTGCGGCCTATTGTACTGGACTTGAAATCGTGGCCAACAAATGATATTCTATTATGAGAGCCACTTGAGGCGTCTCGGTACCACTCCTAAACGAACTAGATCTTACGGTTGAGATAATTTGCAAAGATAACAGACACTACGACATTGGCCTGTTTAGAGTGAAGGTCGTCGGCCTCGTGGAAAGAATTTGGAAGCCTTGCCTCAGGTCCTGTTTGATTTTCGAGACTAGACGGGTTCGCTTTCCAGATTGTATTTCAGATGTAAGAACGAGAGAGCCATGGTAGCCATAATGGATAGTGAGTATGTGTATATCAGGAAGATTCACAAGTGAGGATTCACTCTTTTATACCATACAGCAAAGCAACGGAATTTGAGAGAATCTTGGGCTATAGTGAATTTGATAGAGAACCAGCTTCTCAAATACCTGCCAAGCTCAACACAGGAACTGGAAACACCTTGGCATTTGCTTGATTTCCCTGCTTTATACTTGGAAGAGTGAAGAACAAGGAGCTTAATCAACTCGAGCCAAAAACCCAGTCAGATACTATAACAGCGATAGTCACAACCTGTACAAATATCAGTCAATCTATACACCAAGAGCCCTGAAGATTCGAATACGCACCAATGAAATATCTACTCCAGGCATTATAATGACATCCATAGCAGGTCGATACCCCTGTCTAGAGCCTCTCATCAAAGCCAGTTTCTCATTATGACGAATACTCTCCCGAATTTCAGCAACCTTCCCATCCCCATCAACGACATCAAAAAGCGCCAGCGCATTCCCATGCCGTTCAATATTCAGAGTAAGCATTTTCTCATCCCCGCGCTTTCCCTCAAACGCAGCCGCATTTTCGAACGAAAGAGCAAAATTCCCAAACGAAGTATTGCCCAACGTCCATCGCGGAGTGCCAGTAGCTATCGTCGCAGTATCACAGCCTGGCAAGCTAATCGACCAACTATTCGTCCACGACAATTTCCGGTGTAGCTCGAAGAGCGGCAGACCCGATTTATCGCGAAACTCCCGACACGAGCGATCGGTGTACTTGCGACCAGTCACCGTGAACTGTGGTGTTCCATCCTCTTCGGTGATCTTATATGCGACGGCGGATTGGGGGCTGCCAAATGGTCTGAGCACGAGGGTTGTCTTTGAGCGCGCTATGTATTGGTTCCGGAAGGCGATATCGCGGTCTGGCGATCGAAGGGGTTTGCGGGGCTTAGAGGAGTATGAGCGCGATAGTCGAGCGTCAGAGTAGGAGGTGTAGGACATGGTTGGTATGCCGTGTTTAATCGCAAGACGGACGCGCTGGGATTATGCGGGGCACCTCTTTATACTAGGGTTGGGTTGCATTGGTGTATCTTGCGCTACTTATCCCTGTTGCGGCATTTACTTCGGCGAATGCCCGATGATCTCACTGATTGCTGAGCCACCGGATGCCAAGAAACATACATGAAGCTATTCCCCTCGGGGCTTCAGCGGGGTAAGTGGAATGATGATTTGTGGCTACATCCGGTTTCGAACGACGCATTTATACCTAGCCACCTCTTATACCCCTCTCAGAGACCAATGCTCCAAAATTTAGAAACTCTGCCATCCCATATAAAAAGCAACATCGGATGTACTGCCCCGGTGGGGGCCTATATCTGCTGAGTCATGTTCCACGGCCTCCGGTCCAGGGCTGTCTGTTAGGCAACCAGCTAAGTATCAACCACCTGAGTATCATCACGATCGATACTGTTATACAAACATGGGGAAATTCACCGTCAAATCTCTAGACCACCTGGTCCTTACAGTCCATAGCATTCCCAAAACCGTGGCATTCTATACAACATATCTCGGCATGCGGCATGAGACCTTTACCTCACCAACTAACCAATCCGTTCAGAGGTAACCCCTCTTTTCTTTACAATCTTAGTGGATGTTCAGAGGCAATTGACGATAATAGACATGCCCTCATCTTTGGCTCTCAGAAAATAAATCTCCACCAATCGGGCAAGGAATTCGAACCCAAGGCCCAAGATGTAATGCCGGGAAGTGCCGATCTGTGCTTCTTGACCGATGAGAATGTGGAAAAGGTCCTGGAAGTGTTTCAGGATGCCAGAGTTGAAGTATGAATACTCGGCTTTTTCGGATGCAGATGGAGACTGATCTCTACAGGTTCTCGAAGGTGCCAAGATTGTAGAAAGAACCGGGGCCGTTGGGAAGATGCGCAGTGTATACGTGAGAGATCCTGATGGAAATCTTATCGAGTGAGCGTTTCCCCTTTTCTCTTGGAGTACTCCGTTGACTAACCCCAGCGACAGAGTGTCGAATTATGTTTGATTTATCGATAAACCGACTGTGCCGAGACAATGGGATAGCTATTCTCATAGCGGGAACTACGTTATGGGCCTGTTTTCCCTCCTGGTGTAATAGACCTTATGAAAGTAGAATGACCTGGGACAGCAGCCTGCAGATTATATATAGGCAAGTGTATCCCTCAAACCCCAAATCTTATGATCTATAAAAGTCGGAAACTCGAAATGTATTGATATTCTAATGCATTCTTAATTCTGTTGCAAAAAAAGTGGTAGAAAATCAACTCCTCTCGAGTCTTTGGTACGAAGAGAGATACGCATTCTCAGATATCAATCGGAATATCCGGGCCTCTGTAAATGCTTGCAAAATCGCCCTCACCATGTAATGGTTCAAGTCTTGCCCATAGTGGGAAGTTGAAGTTTGTTGACTTGGACATATCGCATCTCAAATTATTCCAAGAGCCGAACATTGCTTCTATCCCAATCAGTCTCAACACCTGGAAGTTAAGTTTGAGCTCTCGGCAGTCTAACGTAATTCACTACCAAGCGGCGCACACACCCAAGTGGCGCACCCCATCCAAAACGCGTCAATTAATTTAAACCTTTCTTCTTCAACCACCCACTATGCCACCAATTCGCTCCCGAGGCTCTAAAAATTCAGTAGAGCAAGAGGGTAGGATCTTACTAGCTATCCAGGCTTTTAAGAATCAAGAAATCTCCTCAACTTGTGAAGTAGCGCGCCGTTTTAATGTACCCGAAACCACCCTCCGCCGCCGCCTTAACGGTATACAAAACCTCGCGATTTCTCGCGCTAACTCACGTAAATTGACATAAATTGAAGAGGAATCACTTGAAAAATGGATTCTCTCTATGGATTCTCGTAGATCAGCCCCCCGGCCCTCTATGGTACGAGAAATGGCAGATCTTCTTCTTAAATAACGTAGAACGAGCCTAGTTATTTCAGTTGGTATAAATTAGGTCACAAATTTCGTTAAACGGCATCCTATCCTTATATCCCAATTCTCGAGACGTTATAATTACGAGTGTATAAAATGTGAAGACCCGAAAATAATTGGGGAATGGTTTAATCTTATTTAAAATACTATTACTTAATACAGAATCGACCTAGACGATATTTATAACTTCGATAAGATAGGTTTTACTATAGGATTAACTATAATAGTAAAGGTTATTACTAGATGTGAATACTACAGTTGGAAATCACTTTTATAACCTAGAAATCGCGAGTAGGTAATTGCAATTAAATGTATAAACGCAGCGGGGTGGGCCCTCCCTCTATGTATTATTTTTAAAGGTAAGGTCTATATAGAATCTTGGTTTAATAACCTTCTAAATAACTAGCGTTTTAAAGTTAGTCTAAATGGCTGGACTTCTGATGAAATTGGACTTCGCTAGCTTTAAAAGCTCTTTATTCTATCGACTTTTATATGGTTAAAGGGTTGGTATCGGCTTCTAGTACTTAATGGTCACGGAAGCCATTTAACCCTAAAATTTAATGAGATTTATAAGTAAAATGAAATTATACTAATTTATATGCTACTGTATTTATCTTACCTTTTATAACTACTCGATATCGGTTATTTTATAGTAGTAAAGCGGTTGTACAGCTGGTTGATTGAAATGAAAATACGGGCTAGGATTAACTATATTGATAAAGATGACTTCCTTAAAGTATACCCCTCTGTACGAATTAAAGCTTTTAAATCGGAAACGATTAAAAATAGCTTTAGGGCAGCCGGTCTAGTACCCTTTTTACCTAATCGGGTACTTTTAAAACTCGATATTTATCTTCGAATACCAACCCCCCCCCTAAGCCGGGGTAGCGATTTAAGCCGGAATTTTACCCCAAAAACCCCTTTCAATAGGAAAGACCTACGTCGATAGGCTTTATCAATCAAAGCTTTACTTCGTACCCAATCTCGAAGCCTAACAAGTCCTTCTAAATGTGCATTAAACCAACTTATCAAAGGCTGCCAGATTGCAATGTATAACGCTATTCTACTAGCAAAGGAAAACAAGGATTTACGCGCTGAAAATGAGAAGAAGAAGCAAAAACGGACCCAATCTAGACGGTAGATACCTGCCGAAGAAGGCCTCTCTGTTCAGGAAGCTTCTCAATTGATTGCTGGGTTGGTGGAAGCATCAGAAACACCCCTATACCCCCCGGGCGGAAGCACTCAATCAGGGTTGGAACCACGACCACGGGCTGCACCAAGGTGTAGTGGGTGTGGAAAGACAGGGCATAAGATCAATAGGTGTCCAGATAAATGATCCTTTTTAGTTTAGTTAATTTAATGGCGTTATGGTTGAGATATATGCATTTAAATTTAATAGGTTAGATAGGGTGCGCCACTTGGGTGTGTGCGCCGCTTGGTAGTGAATTACGTTATGAAGCGTCGGAGTTTATCTCTGAAATGATAGACGTTGGCACACTGCTGTGGGTCCCATGCAGGTAAACGCAAGACTTCCTGATAAGACAGGGAGCCTGGTCTTCATCTAAGTGTCTCGGGTTCAGATTCACTGCAAACATGTAGACACCTATGAATACATCTCTCAATCAATTAAAGTTCAGTTGACCTGCGCCTTCTTGATGCAAAAAGAATTGGCTGATCTTTGAGATGATCGGCTTCGCCTAGTTACTAGCGCACTGTCAATATATATCATCATTGAATCTTTTACGCCACATAAGGAGTAGCACAAGCTCCGTACCTATGGTTACCAAGGATTGGTCCCGACCTCTTATAGGAGGAGCATAGAAAGTAATGTCTAACTATAGGCCCTAGATAGATCTATACAAACCCGTTCACGTCCGTACTCTCTCTTCTATGATTACATCCTATTCCTTAATAGAGGGAATGGCTTCTAACTATATTGATTTTCGAGACTGAATGGGATGTCGATCAGGGTGGGGTAGAGTCGCTGACCGCCATGATATTCCTAGGTAAGAGTGATCGTCTTCCATTCCCCTCACCTCACCGTTATCTCCAGCCTTCTCCCTGCTGAGTTTGTCCCTATCCAAATTCCTGTGGCTCTCCATATACCTGATCTGAAGTGCCCTAGGATTACAAATTGGTCCTTCAGATCTTCAGACAACCCACTTCGATTGTATCCAACATGCCGTGGCGTCCAGACGAGCCCGTGGAACTTCCCAATGGCCGCCTAGTGTGCAGACAGCACGGACTCGTAGTTTGCGGCTACTGCACTGTGGACTACAGCTTCATGGACGACGATGACGACGATGACGTCGATGATGACGATGACGACGTAGAATCCTTAGACTCAAGCGACCACACGGACGGCTTCGTCGCTATACCGAGAACAGGCTCAGAGCTCAGAGTCGGCACGGGGGGCGTCTTCCCCACGAAGTTTATGCCCCCAAATCCAAATGATACCCCGAAGTCGCTTTTCCCACTCACCAAATCCGAGAACGCCTTGCCACCTGTATATCGGTTCATTCGCCGCAACAGCCAAAAAACCCAATTCCTGGTTTACACGGACGGCGCGTGCTTAGACAACGGTGGTGCGAACCCAAGAGCTGGTTGCTCCTTTGTTTACAGGAATTCTACGACGAACCCCCTACTCCATGGCTTTTTAAATTTCCCTCTCGAGAAAAGTGGGCCCACTGGTATCGCGAACCTGCAAACAAGCAATCGGGCTGAGCTTCGCGCTGTCATTGCAGCTACGCGCTTTCGCTACTGGCTTGGGGAAGGATGTCGCTGTCTAGTCATCGCTACTGATTCCGAGTACGTGGTAGAGGGCATAACGAAGTGGGTGAAAAATTGGATACAGAAGGACTGGAAAACAAGTGGCGGAACGCCAGTCAAAAATAAGGACCTTTGGCAGTGTTTACTCGGGGAGATGGAACGGTGGGATGACAGAGGAATGCGTATTCAATTCTGGCGTATTCCAAGAGAATTGAATACAGAGGCGGACGAGCTTGCTAAATTAGCTGCTGATAAGGATGGCCCTCAAGAATTTGAGGATATCAAGGGCGTCCTTGTTTGAGGGCATACGAGCACAGAGTTGCTAAGTCTACTAGCCGGCAGGTTCAATGAGAAGTTGTTCTATCTGTACGTAGGAATTGGGCATCTTCCAGATCCATCTGGATTTTACTGTTGCATTCGGTTGATCTCAATGTTATGGGTTAAACCGAAGCGTTTAAATCGTGTTGAATAAGCGGATAGCTACCTGCAGGCTGCAGTACTAGCCCAGGTCAGCTTAGGCTTCGATGACTCCTTTCTACGATATCAGCTGAGTGTGGCATTTTTGCAATATTTCATATTCGACTAAACGTGTAGTCATTACAGAATAATATGAGGACACCTTTGCCCAAAACCAAAGCGCAAACCCTCAAAGAAGACCCCGAAACAAAATCCTAAAAGTCAAAAAAAATTACTATACAGGCCAAACGACTCGTGGTATCTGTTGCCTCTGGTCAAATAATCAAAGGAATCGCCTTTCTAGACGAGGTTGGTATAAGTCTCATGCTAAATAAGACTGAGAGGGTCTTCGCGGGCTATGTAAAGCGCACTCGCCCGAAGCTTGACTGATATTGCTTCCCCGATACCAGCCCTGGTCAATCAGCCGTGTTTCCAGGTCTCGCCAGTAGCCAGCTTTCCCCCCAGCGCCTGTTTTCAGATCGAGATCACCAAGACGGATCTCAACAGGTGATTTTTCGTCATGTGGGATCTGTGGATCGGTCAGTATCCAAATCTAGATCATGTTTCGCAACAGACAGGATCTTGATGTTGACTACAACAAATTGATTTTGCAGCATGAACTCACCTTGATAAACATCGTACAGTCCCTCAGCGTCATCGCAAGCGACATCTCCCGGGACTGCGCCGCCGGACCCTGCAGCCCGACATCTCTTTCGGTCTTCTGCAGCGACTGCAGCCTTTGTAGCGTCGAGTTCCGATATAAAATGTGAGCTAGTCGCGATCTGTCCGTGCAGCCTTTGATAAACCCTGTCGCTCGCAGAACATTCTCATACTGCTCGGACACCAGATCCAGCGGACAGAAGGACCGCTGCTCTTTCAGGCCTAGGGGTTGCGACTCGCGGTTTTTCATCTCCCTCAGCGCACAAGTCCGGCACCTATGCGCTGTGGTAGGCGCCGATGGCGATTGATTGAGCCATTTGGGTTTCAGCTCGGCTAGGCTCGCGCCCGGGTCTTCGGTCGTTGTCATGTCGGTGATGAGGAGACCGAATCGCTCATGTAGACAGAGATAGCTGCCATGGCGTTTCTTCGGACGCGTACCGTTTAATTCGGCGATCTGAAGTTGCGAGTTGCAGCTAGAGAGGAGACCCTCTGGGAGTCTAATGAGGGTTTGGTCGACTAGTTCCTCTGGTTTGAATAATGGTCGGATGATAGTGTCAAAGTTTCTAGCAATCTCTTTGTAGGAGATGTCGGCTGCAGTCTCTTTGCGGAGTCGGAGCAATTTTCCCTTGAGTTGGGCTGGTAGGTTGCAATGATCCTCGAATGCAGGTGGAGATAGTGGCCTTTTTGAGTCTTTTTTAACGAGTACTGGATTTCCAACAAATCGGTAAATCACATTTGCTCCTCCCTCGGCGAGGTAAACGAGCCGAACTCCCGAGGGGAGTTCAAGGAGATTGGGTTTGGTCATCCGTTAGAAGGATGGGCGTTGGGCTGGAAATCCTCTGCGATCATGACGTGGCTGATAGTAGACAAATCGATTTAGATCGATTTTGTTAACTCCGCCACCGACGATAATGCGTAGAATAGAATCTAAGATCGAAAGGTTGGGAATGTGAAACAATGCTTTAATGAATTATGCAGATGTATCCAGTGGCGAGAGGCTCAAAGTGGTCCAAAGGGGTTAAACCGAGTTTAGTCGGATCTCACTTCCAGGCTGGGGTGTCCAATCAGCTTCGAAAGCGAAATTCAACTGGCACGTCTAAGACATTCACCAACCGAAAGGAGTAGGATTCGAGAAAAAAACGGAGATTCCGGACAAAGAAGCCCGACATTGACTGAAAACCCCCGGGGCAAGGGTTTAGTTGTGGGGACTCAATAAGAGTGCGAGTGGCGTAACCCCTAGAGTCGATCATAGCAAAGGAGTTAAAGGGTCTAGGAAGTTCGGGACATCATGAAATCAAGGAACCTGAAATCATGAAAAGGAAGATCTCCATGAAGTTGTAGAATTGGAAATCCCCAGATTCAGAGGAGAAAATCCGATGAAGCCGTATTTAAAGACAATGGCGGTCAGGAAATCGGATATCTCAAATTGTAGAGATGCAGCGAGTGAGACTGTGCAGGAGCCTTGGAAAGAGGCTCGAGGGTCTGTCAATATCAGTTGGGATGTGAATCTGCAAATGTCTGCAATAAGGAAATATGTCAAGATGAGTGAAAAATGTCGTAAATGTCGGAAATGGAAGTTCAACCCTCTATGGCGTGTCACTGACCACATCCTCATCATTTCCCCGGGTTATACTCATCTCATCTCTCCTCATCTCTCCATCTAATCTCCCTCCTACATCACCCCAATATCCTTTTACCCCGCCATTTCACCATCAACATCCAACATGGCCACTATCGCAACCCCCGCCCACTGTATCGCCGACTTCTGTCTGGTCCCTGTAAGGAAGTCACATGCTGCTATTCACCTCCCCCGACTAACAGCATAACCCCAGATGGGCACCTCCACGCCCTCGGTCTCAGACCAAGTCGCTGACGTCTATCGGATGATCGAAACATGCGGCTTGAAATATGTCATGCATTCCGCAGGCACAACCCTCGGTACGTATGGAGTACATGTCTCGAGGCTATAATACGTACTACACTATGCATAGTATTGTAGTACTACCTCGGCCACTCCGGCCCCATTCCGGTTCCTACTTGTGTAGAACCTGCTCCTCTCATCTCCAACTGTGGGCTGATTTGTCTCTACGGCTGTAACTAAAATCACCGGAGAAAGAGAGAGCTGAGAGCTGACAGGCCCGTGTGACACTATTCCTATACTTACTGACGTTCCTGGTTTTGTAGAAGGACCTTGGGATCGGGTTTCTCAAGTTATCGGACAGGCGCATACGATCCTTCATCAGAAGGGAATTGTTCGGATTCATACTGACATTCGCGTTGGGTCGAGGTGCGTTCATCTGTTTAATGCCTCCATTTCTCATTGCTGATCGTCTTTATTAGGACCGATAAGGTGCAGTCGTTTGAGGACAAGGTGACCAAAGTGCAGCAGTTATTGAAAAAATAGAGGAGTTCAACTCCGAAAGGCAATAAAGGCAATTGACTTTGAATCATCTCATTCGTTAAACTATATGACTAGACTAGATATCCTGAGCTTGGGGGAAATGCTGAAACCTGCCATCACATCCCAATTCCAACCCAAAACGCCTTGCTCTTGAATGGAAGTGTCCTATATCCCTGTGTACCGTCCAGTCAGGGCACAGCCCCATATCGCAGGACTCAAAAGATATCCAAGAAAATACATCCGAACGCTTCAAATGTAAAAAAGCAAAGAAACCGAGGTCAAATCACTCAGCTCAGAAGGAAATTCCCCCACCGAGAAGATTACCCCAGTTCCCACCAGTCCAAATCCAATTTCCCATAGACACCGACGTGCCCGACTTCGCCGATTCCGCAAGCTTAACCAGCGCCTTGAACACATTACTAGTAGACGAGGCATCACTAGTCGAATCCGCCGAAGTCGAGACAGACGTGCGGCCAACCGCATTGGTGACATTATTCAAGGTATCGACAGTATCGATCGCCGGACCACGGTTGAAGAAGTCCACCAAGATATAGGTCGGCTGTCGCCCACTCCACGCCTCCTTGCAAGTTGTCGCCGCAGTGCCCAGGTTGCCCGTTCCGCCGGACGCGGCGTTCGTCGTGGCCACATAGCTGGAGTTCGGGTACTCAACGTCCAGTATCGCGAGGCTGCTCGAGTACAGAAAGTGATTCATCAATGGGAGAAAATTGGCTGCTAGTGCCGATGCGCTGTTGTCTTTGTATGCCGACGGTCGGTCCACCTCGCATGAGAAGTTCGACGGGGAGGATACGTCGTATGGATTCTCCCAGATGTAGCTCCATTCATCCATCAGGTAGGGGTAGGTGGTGCTGGTGTCTAGTGAGGCCACGAAGACGACGAGGCGCTTGCCGTCGTCGATCATGGTTTGGAGGGTTGGCCAGGTGGTCGGGGCGGTGCCTGGGGATGTCGGCTCGTAAGCGTAGTCGGTAATATTGGCTGTTGTGAATTGGGTGTTGAGCTCGGAGGCTGTGGCGTCGTCGGAGTTGACTAGGAGGATTGTGATCACTGTTTGGATGTTAGTTTCCTTTCTAGACGTCGTCGCGGAACTAACTCACCCTCGTTGGGATTATCATCCAACCACGTCTTGATGTCCTTCAGCCAATCGCTCAGCAACCCCGCATCTAGCAGGTCGCAGCTGGAATGGCATAGGCGCCATTGTGAGTTGCTCTTGTGGACTTGGGCTGTTACTAAACGGACACCCGCCGATAGTTGTGTTGGAGTGTCGTAGTACTGGTTGGCAGCTAGCGAGTTGCCAGTATCGGAGTCACGCACAAAAGGACTATCGTGGGCGCCCAGATGTGTAATTTCTCCATAGGACTTGGAGCAGAGATCAGGAGAGTTGTTGCATGCTGTCGTGCGCTTCGTCTGGACCAAAGGGTTCGCAAGGACCATAGGCAGGAATGCCAGAAAGTTGGATACTCGCATAACTGTACACAAATGATGTATTAGATGTACCAATATACTTCAAGATTAGAAAGAAAGATCAAATAGAAATAAGAAATAGAAACACAAAACAAACAGAAAGGAGACACAAGACCTCAAATAAACAAAATATTTGTCTCCAAGGCCGCGTTGCCCTCTCAACTATTCTTAGATCGGTGGAGCAGCAACTGCACTGCCATTGGGCCATTTACACCAATCGACCTCCTCTATTTGTGACATAGCCCACTTGTCTAGGCATAACTATTGTGTACGGTTTTATATATGGTTTTTCTTACTGACCCTGGACGATCAATGTCTCAACTGCGGGGAATGACATACGTGTACGGAGTATGTTGTGCGCAGATTCTCGGATAATATGGGTATTATGATCAATTATTTACGTATTTGCTAATATACAGGCGATTTGCAACTATCATAGTCCTTTAAGCGACAAACGTATACCCGGGGCGCGTCGCTTCGTTCTGCTTGCTCGTGGCGGATTCACCAACTGCTCCAAGTTCTGTTCCATCCCATCGAAGAGAGATGGATCGCCCCAAGCCTGGAACACATCGTTCAACACTTGTTGAAGGGGATACGGGTTACGCCGTCGCAGCATGCGATTCATGCGCCGCGCTGACAGAATATGATGGCTGTAGAGCATGGCCAGCCGGTGGCGAACTGCCTGTGAGATCAATCGCTTGTCAAGACGAAGACCGGATTTTTCTAGCTCTCGAAGAAGAATCAGCCCCCGGACCCATGGAATGAGCTTCTCGTCCGTTTGGGAATTAGGTGGGGGGATCGCAAATTTCGATGCGGTAGTGTCCAATACTCGGAACATGAAGCCCCAAGAGACGATGGCGGCTTGCATTTGGGGGGTAAAGACGAGATCGAGCATACGCCGATCGCGACCGTTTGCCTGCTTGGCGGGATCAAGAGGGGATTTGGAAGATGGAAAATTCGCCCAAGGCTTTTGCTCCGGGCTTTCAGCGTATTGGCGAACGAGCCACTGACAGCAATCTCGGAGTTTATCCCAGTCTGCCCATGCGTCTGCCATACCTAGACGCTTGAGCATCTCAACCCAGAATGCAGCACTGACATACCCTCCCGCGGGAACCACGCGCTTTAGAATTTTGAAGATGAAGATCACTTCATCGACGGCAGACAGGCGTTGACCCGGCGGTGGGCGATGGTTCATTCGCCGAGGGGTGAGAATCTGCTCGGCCATGAAATCCACGCTTTCTTCGCCCAAAGTACGACCACGAAGAGCTAGCTCGTCGGCGACCTTGGATGCCGCGCTCAATTCCCAGGCTGCGATATGCTTCCGAAAGTGGATGTCGTACAGATCTGGTGCGCCCGGGTATAATTCTGTTAACACCGCTAGAGTCATATTGTACAATCGCCAATCCCGGGCCATGTAGTAAGATACCAACAGTGATTCCTGCATACGCTTGTCTTCAAGGGTCTCGGGATGCTGATCGCTGCGGAGGACATCGGAGAGGAGAATGTCGCGGTTCTGAGTTGCAAGTTTCTGGACTAAGCGTGAGAAGACAGTACTTCCTATAGAAATACCGGACTGCTTAAGTATTTTAAGCTTGTCCAGAAGATCTTGATTACCGTGGGCTCTCGTGGCTAGTTCGCGCAATGTCCGGTGGCCGATCTCTGATACGCCGAGCATCTTCAAGCCACCAACGATCATATCGAAATTGAGAGCACGAGTGGCAAACAGTTTAGCACCTATGTCATCTTTGAAGGGTGTTTCGTCTTGCGACCCCTTTTCCTTGGATTTCGGGGCTGTATCTATTGGGCCAGGTTGATCAATCGAAGCTTCGGTATCAAATCGCTTTTTGACATAGCCGCGGAGCCGATTGAACTCTTTCCGTAGCCCGAATTTCTCAACATATTCCAGCAATGGCTGTATTTCCTCGGGGCTTTGTGGGTGATCCTGACGTCGAGCAAGGAAATGATGCATTGAGATCGCTGCTTCGCCGTGGCCTTGCTGCATGAGCACCGCAAGTACAGGGCCATAAAAATTATGCTCGGGCATCGTGGAGCATATGTCTTGGAATGCTTGCAATCCCGGCGACAAGGGCGACCGCTCGAGATCAGCCAAAGTCGCAAATTCCGTGCCAGCCGGAAGAGACGAATGCATTGCAGAGGGAAGTATTTTCAGCACGTCATTTGCTCTGGCTAAATGAGAGCGTTGAAGCTTCTTGTGCCATTCGACTGCACGTTTTGTCAAGCCTTGCTCCAGAAGTCCACCCACCACGCGCTCATACAGCTGTGGCCATCCGTTGCCTTGTTGCTCCCGTAAAATGACAGCATAGTCAAGAACCTCCTTAAGAAAAAGCTCTCGCCTTAATCCCATGTCCACAAAGCTTTGCCAAAAGAAGTCCGCTTGCTCTCCTGCAACTGGGAGCCGTACACCATCCACTCGGACCCTCAACCCTTCCCATATGTCTAGAGTACCATTGTCGCCGTAGTGACGCTGACGGTATCGAAGAAGCTCCTCCCACAGATCGAAATTATTTCGATGCTCTGGATCGTCCACTAATCGCGTTCCAATATCGTTGAGGTGTCCGACGTTCGATTCGAATTCAAGCTTGTCCGGTCGGAGAGACAGAAGTTTGATAGGGCATTGTGTCGTATTATTAGGTGTTTGGCTCTTTACTAGAGGCGTGGGCTCAAGGGTGTTTGGTTCATTCGAGGCCTCAATGTCGTAGATGGGAAAGCTGAATGGCCGTTTCCCTCGGCATGGATCCTCAAGCTGATGCCGGGTGTTATTGTCGGGTTCCTCGAGTAATTCTTGTTTGGCGCTTCGCGAATGACATCGTATACACCGGTACCTGGACTCCAATTGCTCAATTCCGATCGGTGTTGCTGTGAGTGTGTCAAGGATCGAGACGGCGGACGGCCTCTTCAACAGTCGCAGAAGCGCCGGGCGCATGAGTAATTAAGAAAGGAAGGTCGGGAAATCAAATTATCAACGTCAAACATCCTTCTTTGAGCTCCCCACGTCAATCCAAAAAGTTCGTTGTCGAATATTCAAACGTTGATACGCGTCTGGGCACTTTTCTGGCGCTTTTCCCTTTTGGGATGATGACTAGATGCAACGTCTGATTCGATCAGGTGATGCTCAGCACGTGACACGATATCCAGCTCATTCCGGGACCAACTTCACATCCCCATTTCGCCCTCATCGTACCTCACATCCCCGCTCCTTCTTCGCTTACAACCGCGAAAATGTTCCGTGCTACTAGCTCCCGCATGGCTGGGTATGTACTCCCTTCGAATTGCCACAATAATCCCCCGCGCACAAACCCGACTTTGAGAGTGCGCCCATCGAATTTCCTCCCACGATCTTCGGGGTCCAATTACGATTGACGCGGCTGCGGGACCTGTCATCCCACCATTAATTACAATTTATACTGACTGGTTCTGCTTAGCTTCGTGTTCCGTGAGAACCGTGTGCCCTACTACCAGCGTCTCTTCCAGCAACACGATGGCAAGCGCCAATGGTACAAGGTCAGTACCCGCCGGAAGGGGCATATGCCCTCAATGAAGTTTCCGGAAGAACAAGAAACTGACATTGGAATTGTCTCGCAGACCTCCCGCTCCGGCTACGTCATGTACCCCTACCTCATCTCTGTCTACGGCCTCGGTGCTGGTGAGTAGACCCGTCTTCCGATATGAGATCCGGTCGAGGATAGAAACTAATCGTCAATAGCTACCATGTACGCCATGTGCCGCATGGTTCTCGTTAGTCCACCCATCCGCTACTTCTCATACTCTAACGAGAAGCACGAGCGTTCATATGCTAACTTCTTTACAGGGCCACAAGACTTGGTACTAAATTATAGGTCTCAAGACTTAGTCCGGCAGAGACAAATGATGCCATTTCCAGTTTCGTTGGTTATTCAACCTGCGGCATCAGTTGTTTTTTGTATGGTGTATTTCTACTCCAGGAAGGGGTTAGATGGGTTGGCAGCCACGCAGATTTGGAGCTGTACATATGATCAATTCAAGCGCCAATCCCAGAGATGCTGCCGTAAATCATTTCCCTGGTTTCACAGAACTACTCGTTCGGTCTCCTCGCCCAAATTGGGTGGTACTGTTTTTGATAGAATAGAGATGGTTGTGCTGTGACTCGCAACAGCCCGAAGCCGAGCTATCTTAGCTCTTGTTGGTCTAGCTAGACATCCAAGTGGTGATAACACACTGTCTAGGTACTAAGTACAGTATTGCTCACATGTACGGCAGTGGAGAGATATCTTAGTTAACTATTCGGCGAAGGTCGAAATGGATGACTCATTACTTGCCTCGCCCAGGCGGGCTCCAGGCGTACAAGTTCATTCAATAATATCTGCTCAGGACATATATGGAACAAATTGAGTACAGAAAAAGCTCGTAGTGGATGAGGCAGGACGTGCTAAAGACGGTTGTGGGCATCGCAGGATTCAAGCCCGGGGCTCAGGCGCCCCCTCGGCCCGCTTCCATGGGCTCACCCCCGGGTGCCCCGGGCCGCTTTATAATTGATTACTCAGCTGTTTCACAGCCCGGCCAATTTTATGGTCTTACTTCCTCTGGACCACAATATACAATGGCTTTGCTTGTGTGAACCTGTATATCCCTAGAAGCAAGAGCATGCACCAATCATATATATATCTCGATATAGCCTGTCAATTGAGGCACCGAAGTACCCGATCCATGCTCCTATAATGACTGTTCTCTTTGAGAGCATTGAATATAACAATGGAACACGAGAGCTTCGCCTATTCAGAGAGACCCGCTAAGCGGGTTCGTCAAGCCTGTGAGCCCTGCAGGTACCAAACCCCTCAGATTGTTTACAAAGATAGCCGTTAACCAGTTTCCCAGGCGTAAGAAAGCTAAATGCCCCGGAGAGCAGCCGGTCTGTTCTCTGTGTGCCAGGCTACGGCAACAATGCCTATACGCCGATGAAAGGCGTCGGCCACATCCCGAGTTGAGTCCACGACCCAGTGATTCAGACCCTCGAACATCTCGGGTCCTGGTGAGTATTTTTATCTCTCAATGCAAGCCCGAAGAAATTTTATGCAAATACTGATTCCGTCATAGGAAGATAGATTGCGAAGCCTTGAAAGCAAAGTGGGAGAGGTTCTAGATGTACTTGGGTAAGAACATACAGAACCTCTATGTAAGCAATTACTTACTCTTAGAAACATGTTGCAGCTCGAGGAGTGAGCCGCAAATACCCACAGAATCTCTTGTCCCGTCCGTGACATTGTCAATGCGAAGCTCATCGATTACTCTACCACCATGGGAGGAGATTATTCCCATTGCGGAGCTCTATTTGCTATACTGTGACTCTCAGCCTCTACCTCTTTTCTACAGGGATAGCTTTATTTCTACTCTACTAACACGCGAGGCGGAGCTTCTTTTTGCTATATTGGCACTCGCCTTTCGCTTCTCGTACACTCACCACAGCAGGGCCGATTCCACTAGCCTGATCAATGGCTATGCTGAAGTTGCTCGGGGCCTCGTTATGAAAAGAGTCTCAGAAGGGCCAGTGGAGCTTTCGACACTTCAATGTCTTTGTATCTTGAGCTTGGTCGACTTTACGAGTATGAGCCTAGCGTTTCCAACATTTAAACTCGAGCTAATAATATCTCCCAGACGGCAATACACATCGGTCCAGTATCCACAGCAGCTTAGCGATGAATCTTGCACAATGTGCCAATATCGGCCAAGAGCCCCGTTCGTCGACCAGTACCATAGTTCGCGAAGAACGCAGACGCTGCTTCTGGAGTATATGTCTTCTCAAACGACTACACGGCGGCGACTTCCCAATCCCAGACATACCCCAATCCGGAGGCCCTCCATATCCCCAAAGCCCGACACGACCAGCACTCCTCTCTCCGGGAGCATCAACCGCCGAAACACGGCGAAGTGACATGCAAGACGAGGGAATCATTGCATATGTGGTAATGCTGAGCGAAGTGTTCGCACGGACAGCACGGTACGTGCGACTTCACGGGCGTCCAAGCAACGTCCCACCTTGGTCTCCTCATTCCGAATACTCCAAAATTCTCGCTTTACAAATGGACCTCGAGACTCGCATGCCATATCTTCATAGGTTCAAGCCAGCCAACCTCGGGGAACGGTCTCTCGAGGAATTACAGACACATCGTGAATACTGGGGTCCGTGGTTTCTGAATCAATTCATGTATCATACCAGCCTATGTCTACTCAATCATCCATTGCTTCTCTCGCTCAGTCTTCGGAACTTCCGGAGTACCATCCCGGAGATTTTCTTGCAGCACAGCTCAGACTTGATCTCTTCGCATACAACCTGGATCATTCACTTCATCAACTGCTTTGAAGAAAAGTCATTTCTAGTATCAGATCCATTGCTGGGGTACAGTGCCGCCGTTGTCGCTACAATCGAGCTGCAACTCAGTTTCACGGATGATCTGACTATCAGGGAACATAAGCGTGAGAGATTCGCCAAGTGTGTGAAGTTTGTGCAAACCATGGGAGAACGGTGGCCGCACATGGCTCGACTGGTATGGTCCCATCTTCTGGCTCTCTCGGTCAAAACAACAATCTAATAATACCAAAAGGCACATAGATTACAGCGACTAGAAGACGCAGTATCAGCAACCTACCAATCAGACCCAGGCGCGCAAAACCAAAGCCTCCTGATTGACCTATCTCGATTCTGGGAAATCCTCGAATACTCATCCAACAGCGACACGGACTCTGCTCGGCGTCTATTTGGGGATTCACTTTATGTCGGTTCTTCTTCCGCAGGTGGAGAAGTATCTCAGACATCTCCTTTGCCTCCGCCGTTCCGCTTGAGTGTCCAGGAGCAAGATACACCAAATATTCGGTCTCAGTCGTTCGGTACCAATACTGCCTTTCCTAGTCAGGACTACCCAGCAAGCTCTTTGGTCTCGCCGCAGCACTTGACGATGTCTAATGATGAGTTCTCTATTCTTGCCGCCAATTTCTTTTCTCAGGGGCAAGAGTTCCTGCGCAGTGGTGATAACTGGGAGAGTGTTGGGAATTTCTAAGGGCTTGGAACAGCAGACTTCAAATCTTGTGTGTCTCTACATTTTCTTCGATCCTGTGATTGAATAGCTACTAGCCCACGGCATATCATTCATGGTGCATTGCATTATCATACTCGACATTTATCCACATCTCACAATATTAATTATCAACTAGGAAGAGGCCAAAGCGCCCTTGAATTCCTTGACAAAGTTGAACACCTCGGAGAAGGTGTTGTACAACGGCACTGGCGCCACACGGACAACACCCGGCTCCCGCTTGTCACAGATGATACCCGCATTCTGTAGGCGTTCGGACACCTTGTGCAGCAAGCCAGGCTTGAGCAAAACACTCAATTGAGCACCTCGAGCATTGGGGTCTGACGGAGTGATAATATCAAACAGACGAGTCTGCTCGTCGGTATCCTTGAGAAGCAGGAACTCCAAATACGCCGTCAGCTTCACTGACTTTTGGCGTAAATCGGCCATGGAGGTCTGGTCAAAGACGGACAAAGCCGCACAAAGACATGTCAGATCAATGACTGACGGGTTGGACACCTGGAAGCCTCCAGCTCCGGGAATAGGCTTGAACTCTGCTGGTGGTCAGCATATGCTAGAATATGTATCGCGCGACACGAGTAAGAAGAAACTAACTGTTGTCCATCTTGAACCTCACCGATCGGTCACCACCATACCATCCTGTCAAGCGGTGACGGAACTTCGGAGCATCTGGTCCAGCGCTGTAATCGACCTGGCCATGTCTCTCGTGCACAAAAATTCCACCCATTGCGCCGGGCCCGGCATTACCGTACTTGTACGTGCACCAAGCCGCGAAGTCAACGTTCCAATCGTGCAGCTTCAGCTCCACATTTCCATATGCGTGCGCCAGATCCCATCCAACGACGAGGTTCTTTGATTGGGCGTACTTGGTGATTGTGGCGATGTCAAATAGCTGTCCGGTGTAGTATTGGATGCCCGGGAGAAGCAGCAGCGCTGCGCTGTCGGCATGTTCATCGATATAGGACAGGATTTTCTCCGTCGAGATCTCAGATTGACCCTCGTCTGGGCCAATGAGAATCATGTTCTCCTTTGCATCTAGGTCATGCCAAGCAATGTGTGATTCGATCGCATACTATAAACGTGTTAGCGATAGATTATCACCTGCAAACATCATTTTCATTGCAGGTTATCACTCACATGATCACTGGGGAATGCTTTCCAATCCATGAGAATCTTCCGCTTAGTCTCAGTCGGCTTATAGAAGCTTGCGAGCAACAGGTGGAGGTTCGTAGTCAACGTTCCCATGGCTGCGACCTCTTCAGGCGCGGCCCCGACAATGCGGGACATTGAAGCAGCTGCCTGTTCAGACAGTAGCTGCCATTGTTTCAATGGTGAGTCTTCAAGATCGGTAAAATGTCCACAGACACCGATGGACGACCAAGTATCCAACTGAGCCTCCATATACTTCGATACGGCCTTGGGCTGGATACCCAATGAGTTACCGCAAAAGTACGTGCTTGGGTCTGACGACAGACCTGCATGATCTTGTTAAACTAGATTTCGCGTTTCCGCGGGGATATGGTTCTCACCTGGCTTTGCCAGCTTTTTCGTAGCGAGATTCGCCTTGGAGGGAATGATGAATTGGTCGCGGAATCCACGCAGAGGATCCGCCGCATCCAGAGACGCGGCATAATCCTGGGATGCTGCCTCTGCAGGATAGACTGGCTTTGATAATTTACCCGTCATGTTGCCTATAAATGCTCTCGTGAAATGCGTCGAATATGGTAAGTTAAGTCAAGCCGTGAAGATTTTAGTTGCAACCAAC